TAGGGAGGACTTAGCCCTGTTAGCCCATATATACCAGCCGTCCCTGGTCCTATGGCATTTATTAGTTTCTGACTCTGGGAAAGTGGGGAAAAACAGTATCTCTGAACCATCTCTTTAACCAACTCACACTTTTCGGCTATTTGTGATCCAATTTTTATAACTAATGTAATATATTTTCACTTCCCTTTACTGAGCATCCCCTGGAAAGACCCGCCTCCCGCTTTGAAAAACTCTGCTGTATGAAATATGACATTATAAGAAGGCATTGAATAACGATGTTTAAGCTTAGATTTGGGTGTCTTGAATTTTTCCCCTACTCATATTAAAGTTTATGTGTAAGTATTTGTAATAGATGATAGTGGGACTACACTTTAAGCAGTGCAAATCGGAAGGCACTGACCTCGTTCACCCTGCTCTTACTGCTCAGTATCTGTTGGAACGTATTAACATATGTCTAGCTGTGGCCTGCAGTGGATTCTGTTCTGTCTAGAACCAAGGCCTGCTTATCCTCTCAGTGGGTGGTTAGCTAGCCCCATCAATAACCTCATTAAATATTTAAGAGTTCCTCTAGCCATGTTTGTCTCTCAGCTCTCGTTCTCTTTATGTGGATGAGAGAGGCTCAGGAATTTTATTTAATATAACTGGAGTAGGCAGACTGCCCTCCACATGTTGTGATGTTTTTATTTGTTGACAGTAGAAGAGCAGAAGCTTCTGGCGTAGTTGTAGCTCAAAACAGTACAATACAAAATTCAATAATAATAAGCTTTTTAAAACATGTTTTGATGTCGAGGAAGAATTCCACTACTTGGAAACTGCAATTTAAAGTGCAGATGAACTTAAAACATCCCAGCTGTCGGTGAAAATAAAAACCAGAAATGTGCTCTGGAGATCCACATTTGTTTGACAGTTCATTAAGTGTACATTAAACCAAAGTAACATGAAAAATTCATTAAGTCTAATCTTCATTTAAGTTTAATTAAATGTTAACTAATTTTATTAAAATTTAATTTAAATGTTTATTACATTAAATTGTTTAATTCAGATTGAATCAAACACAGTTCCTGTTGACACTCTTATGTACTGACAGACTGGTTACCTCTCTTTGTGAACACTTCTTATTCTTATTCTTTAGCCTCATTTAGAGGGACGCCTGGACGTGAGATGAGACGCTTTGTGAATACAGTGTGTTTAGCAGTTCATTAACATTTTCAATCTGTTCTGTAATTGTTTAATTGTTTTGTTTGTTTGACTCTGCAAACCTCAGCCCCTCCAGCTCGTCTCTGCCTCCTGGTCTTGTCCGCCAAGCCAACAAGCAGATCAACTGGCAGCTGGTGCTTGCAAGGTACACGGCACACACACGCTCACACACACACACACACACACACACACACACACACACGCTCTCTTTGTGATCGATACCTGAATGTTGCTACTATGTTCATGCACTAAGCCTTCCCCCCTTTCTGGTTTTCTCTTCCTTTTGTGTATCCCTTAAACCAATCATTTAATTGTACTCATTACAACAGACAAACCAAGTAGAAAGGTGGTTTTTAATTGGCTATCGATTCAGCCATGTAAGACAGTGTGAAGCTGCGGTGGTCAAAATGATGCAGTGGATGTCCATTATGTTGAGTGCTGATGTCCTTCCATTTGCTTTCCTGTCTGCCCTAAATCTATGGTCGGCGCTTCAGTTCATTTCCCCCTGAATGAATCTTTGCTCTTTTTAATGCCCCCAGTTATTATTGTTTCTCCTCTCTTTAAGCCATCCAACGTTGGCTCGTATTCCAGTATTTATCTCTTTTCCATCCAGACTGCCCTGCTAGACACAGTCTCACACACACACAAAACCACTCTTTTCTTCATTGCCTGTAAATGTGTGTTATCTTCCTTTATCACCCTAGGTGGTCTTCAGTTCATCTCCCACTTTTTAAAAAAAAAATCAGAGATAATGACATTTGTTCATCGCTCTCACCTTCTGCTCTCTTTGTTTTCTCTCTTATTTCTTTTTTCTTGTTTTCATTCCCTACTGTTCTCTTGTTTTCTCCGCAGTAATGGCAAACTGCTGGCAGTGGTTCAGGACCAGTGTGTGGAGATTAGGTAATTATTGAACTCTATCCCGCTGTTTGAGGCACTCTGTCTGTGTGTTCGAGTGATAGAGAGCCCTTTAATTAATGGGGTGATTTATCACAACTGTCTTTAATAAGAGCTGCAGTCTTGGCTTGTATCTAAAGAATGAAGATCTTTTCTTTAAGCATCAATACAATCAGTAATAATATAATCAGTCATAGTAGAAATACGGGTGTCAGTTTAGCTTACCTTTTGTGGCACCTATTCGGTACTTCAGGCAATGTAAAATTAACGCTAACTATTTGAAATTACCAGTGCTCCCTAAATGTTTTCATTCCTTTGCGTGAGCCTGTGTGTGAGGGATAGAGAAAGAGACCAAAGCATACATATGCATGAGTGTGTTTGTGCTCATTTTGGGTGGTTGTAATTATTTTCAGACACGATTCAATTTCCCCCTTACACAGAGAAAATGCACTCACTCAGCAATGTGCTCTATTGACACACTGTAATGCCTTAAATGGAGCAAAATTGAAATGAAAATCAATAGCAGCGGACCAGGTATACAAATATGTCTTGCTCTCCAGAGGCTAAGGAGGAAAATCCAAAGACTGTTTCCCTCTTGACACTTTATGTAATTGTAAGTCATTTTCATGCACATATCAATATGTAAAACATATAATATCCCCGTTGTTCAGTACACTCTTAATCGTGTAGTTGTGGTCGTTGTTGACCTGACACAATCAAGTCTCTCTCCTTACGCCTCAGCTTGATACTGTGGGTTTCTTCTGTGTCCTTTGTTCACACCACTGTTGTTTAATCACAAAGTGTTTTATGGCCTTGCTTTATGGCATTAGTCGGTGCGAGTGGGTGTTAAGTCAGCTCAAGGCCTTATCCATTGAGCTTTGTTAAGAGTCTATCTAAACACTGCCTACTCTCAAGGCCCTGTCTGCTTGATCCATTGAGCTACTTCAGTTGGCTATCAGTGGCTATTATACCCCACCTTATACCAGGTCATATAAGGCTTGGGTGCGTGTACCCTTGTTGTGCAGTGCAACTTTTCTTGCCCCTCTCATTCTGTGTGTGTGTGTGTGTGTGTGTGTGTGTTTGCTCCTTAGGTCTGTGAGAGATGACTTTGGCTCAGTCATTGGGAAGTGCCAGGGTAAGACCCCATGTTTTATTAATCACATACTGTAGTTCACGGCAAATGACATCAAATCACCATAGCTCATATTACTAAACACCCCATTTTCTTTGTGAATGTACTGGTTACTGTTGTGTGGTATAGCCAGTGTAATGTGAGTGTGCATGTAGCCCTTCATGTTGATCTAGGAGAGTTATGGAGTGTGTCCGACTGTACAGCTGGCGGTTCAAAAGGATTGTCTCTGTGTGAGAAGAGAATAGAATAAAAGACATCATACAATACAAGACATTTGTACTAAAATCAGGGCTGGTCAATATGGCTGAAATTATTGTCACAATACAAATAGAACCCATTTAGGGTCAGTATTCAGTGCAATGTTCAAATGGCATATGATGGGTGCAATGAACTATGTCAAACATGACATCAGACCGAGAAGTCTCAGTCAGATTCTCATTTGTTAAATAAAAACTGTAGCATAAAAGAGAAGAGAGACAAAGGCTGTGTCTGAAATCATACCCTGTTTACTATATAGTGTGCTATATTTTCTGGCCCCCATCTGTGTCTAAATTCTCAAAATTTGGTGTCCATGGTATTTATGTGTCTGCAAACAATCTCACAATGCAATGTGTCACATTTTATAGATGGGTAAATTAGAGGTATGCGACACTACACCTGTGATTATGTGAAATGATGATGATAAGTGTCGGAAATCTCAATACACCGCTCACTAAAATGTTAACTCGCAGGTATTTGGGGACTATTTATTAAGTGAACAATGGACTGATTTTGGACACATCTGAGATTTGTGTTTCGTCCAGCTCACATTTGACTGTTTCCTTTTTAATGAATTCATAGGCTGTATGTGTTCTGATGTTGATTAACCTGTAGTCTGAATTTACAGTGTCTATAGTTGTGCGTGTGTCTGAGCACACATGCCTGTGTTTGTACACATCTGCTTTGAGTTTGTTTCAAAGAAAACATCGACCATGGTGGCTAATTGGAATTTGTGAGAGAGATTGTGAACAGCAACACAGATAATCACCCTAATGCTCTACACTGCCACTCATTAAACGCAGCTTCTTAGTGGCTAATAAAAATAAATAGCCTTGATTGTTTGGTTAGTTATTAAAATGGCCTACTGTGTTGGTTTTAATTGTTCTTAACATGGCAAGCGCCAAACTGTCTGCAAGTTGAGAAGTTTTGAATGATACAAAACAAAGTTAAATACACTTAACGTCTATTGACATCTATCTTATTGATGTAGCTGCACTAATCAATATATGTATACTAGCAATGGATAAAATCTCTATGTGTAATGTAAAAGGGGTTGTTTGTAGTGATGCACCCCCAGAAAATTATCACCCAACTCTGCAGTTCCCCTTATCTCTGCTGAGTATTGAAGTGTCTTTCAGCATATTGTTTTGGTTTTAAGGCCCTCAACTTAATTGTTTGTTAACTCTCACCGCTCACGTCAACCCCGTTTCTAGCTGTGGCTGGCAGCTATTTTCAGTGAAAAGCTTTGATAAACCCACTGTACACCGCCTGCCCAGCACCAAACAGTAGAAGTTAGCAACTAGCTAGTGAACATAGTGGAGCACGTAGCCACTAAAGAGCCAGATATTTACCTCACGAGTGGCTAGACACCAAAAACAGGACTAAAGGTTTGAGTTATTATTGGACATTCATCAGATGGACAGAAACATGACTCCAAATGAATGCTACTGTTGCCGTGTGTCTGCCAAATGTGTAAATGTTAGCTAACATGGTCACCATAACAGCTTTATAAGGTAATAACACATAACCATAACACTTTAGAGCGACTTTTGACACCCCACAGTGGTAGCATAAAAAAGAAAAACAGCAATGTACACTAATGCCCTGCGGCCTCCCCCACAGATCCAATCGTTTGCACACTAGATTAATTGGCTGAAAGCAACAACTAGACTGCAGCATCTTTTACCAGGTTTCTTTCAAAAACAAACTCATCAGAATCATTTGAAAGAAGCCATTATCACACAAAGTCTACTTACAGGATAGTGGATCACTTTAAAGACAAAAATACAAGGGTGTTTTCTCTCTGAATTTCTGTTTTTTATTCACATTTTCTGCACATACACACAGCTCCAAATGAATCCAGAAGAACAAAGCAAGAACTCAGTAAAAAGCCCAGAATGAAACTTGTGTGGGTTTCTTCCTTCTCCTTTTCTTACAATCTTTCTTTTTTTTTCTCATTGTCATCTTTGCCACCCCTTCTCTGACTCTCTCTCTTACACTATATTTGTTCTGCTCTGGCTGGCCGTCATTGTGGGCCGTTGTTCTAATGGTTCATAGTGTGGATAACAGTAGCCCCTGGGCCCGTGTAAACCCCAGCCTCCCTCCTCTTTTTCATTCCATTTCAACTCTCCTTTTCATTTTACTTTTACTTCATTTCATTTCACGGAGATTTGTCCTAATGGATTTTGCTGTGATCCTGCCTTCAATGGCATTTGCTTTTAATGGAGGAGCGTGCGCGCAGTACTGCCACTATTGCTTGCGCGTGCGCCTGTGCGCCTGCATCCCTCGTGCGTGAACGCGACGGTGCATCCACACCTGTGTATCACTCTCTGTCTTTTTCTCCCCTCGCCCCTCCCTCCCTGTCTGGTCCTGTTACGGTGGAGTTGTCTCCCACCCCCGTACATAATTCATAAGTGTTGAGCTCTGATAAATGCATCTGCAAGGCTTTAGATAGAAGGGTCGTTGGGTGTAATTCTACCCAACGTCTGCCCCCGCCATCGCTGGGAGAGAAAAAGAATGAAAAAGAAAATATCAGGACAGTAGCATCCAATTTTCCAGCTCCCAAAAAAGCCATCTATGTGGAAATGGAGCCCTCTCAGCCGCAGAACAACATACTGTATACAATTCATAATGGGAGCGAGAGATAGGAGTGGAGGCAGTGTGAGAGTGAAATAGAAAAGAGATTGAAATACGAAGCAAAAGAACAAAAAGAGAACAGAGGAGACGCTTGGTACCTATGGCTCTCATAATGGCTGCATGTTCTTGTCTGCTCCTCCTCAGCTGAGAGTCTCAAAGGTGTGTTAAATCGCCTACTTCCCGAGGTGCTCTCTGATACTTAGGCCTTAAAATTTGGGGAGCTATTATTTCTCTCAGTGGGTGCCCGGATTCATTGTTTCTCGCTCTCATTCCCCCTCTCTCTCTCTTTGTCTGTCTTGCCTCCCACTTCCTCCCTCCGTTCTTCATTTAAAATTCTAGTCATACAATATCCGACGCCTCCATTCGTTTGCAGTATTGCCCACCAGGGGTTGCAGCAGCATTCCTCAGCCAAGAAATTCAATACAATAAACGCCAATAGCGCCGTTATGTGATATCAACAAAAACATAACTTCCTTTTCATAACTTTATTGCTTAGCAGACACAGCACCCGTGGTGGCATATTGTGTTTCACACTGTTCTCCAATGCAGAAATCTAAGTCTGTGCTAAAGGTAGTATCTAATAGTACGTAGTGCTTGAATATTCTCAGCTTTCTTGTACCCAACATTTGAGTTTGTACAAGAAAAGTCATACCCAATTTACCCCACATGCCGTTAAATGTGTCATAAGATAATCGGGTATTCAGAAAAGATTCGGGAACAGAGGCTGCCAGACTGCCCCAGCTCCTCTATCAGAGGGAAGTATGACAGCAAAGCCTTGAGAAAGTGCCAGCAGGCAGGGATGTGCTTCATAACAGCGATATGGTTACACTCACAGCACTGCTGAGCCAGCAGATTGGTAAAACAGTAGCCTATACTTCAATAAAAGCTGGATTTATGATCTCCGTTCTCCTCCCACTTTCTCCCCGCCTCACTTTTTACTCCCTCCACCTTTCTCCCCCTGTCATCGTGCCCGGAAAAATGTGCGTGTGCGTCTTTGAGAGACAATTATTGAGATGTATTACTCTAGCTATCTTTCACAGATGAATTGGATAGGTCCTTAGACACACTGTGTTGATGTATGGCATTAGCTTAATCCTCCTTCTTCCATCTGTATTCATCATCGGCACACCACGGAACACCAGGGATTATTCTCAGAGTTTTCTCATCTGGCTCAATAAGAAATCCTTAGCTCCCTGAATCTCTGTCTTTCTTTCTCTGTTTCTCTGAGCGCTCATGCCTTTTGTTTTTTTCTGCCACAGTACCTAAGGACCCGAACCCCCAGTGGCGGAGGGTGGCATGGAGCTACGACTGCACCCTGCTAGCCTACGCCGACAGCACTGGCACTGTGCGCCTTTTCGACCTCATAGGCAGCGAACTCTTTGTCATCCCGCCGGTAACCATGACAGCCCCTCCTCTTTGACGTCATCAAACAGCCTCTTTCCCCCTCCAAGCTATCTTTAACATTTTTCTTTTTCTTTTGCATGCATTGATACTAATTTTAAGTGATTAGGCTCAGCATATGGAAACCCAGCATTCACTTGGCTTCCTTTTTAGTTTTATCTCCATATTTTACTCGGATGATTGGTTCAGTTACAATATGTTGCATCTAATATGAATGTGTAGATGCACCTTAATCTATCATTGGAAAGTACTGTACGGGCAGATTCTGTGTAAAAAACAACAAAACAAAATACTACACAATATTAATATGCTAAAGCAGATTTGAATGTATTTGTAACTTTAAGGTGACACAGTTGTGAGAATTCAGACATCCGTAATCTCGGATCCAGACAATAGTTGGGCCATGCTCTGCTCTTTCAGTGCAGTACACATTTTTGAGACACTGTGAGCTGCCTGTCACCTTTTTGAAGGAAACGTCTCCATGTCACACCTTCTGTTCTCTCATTGTCTGTCATGCCTACTTTATCTTTCTTCTTTCCACTTTACTCATAGCGTCCCTTTCTTATCTCCTCCCTTTTAATTTTTCACACGAGTGCTGCTCCCCAGATCCTCCTTTCCATTTCTCCTCCAGCATCTCTCTCATCCTTGCATGTTGTCTCTCAGTAGACATCCTTGCACTGCCATTCCAAGTCATTCTGCCGTTCCCCCCCTCACTTAAATGCCCTCTGTGTGCTACATATTATCATTCCTCCATTTCTATCCATCATCCCTTCCATTCCTCCATCCGCCCTGTCAGAGACGATGAGCGCAGACATTCCCCAGCTGCACTCATCTCTCGAAGTCTGTGATCTTCACTCCTTTAGTGCAGCTCTGCTTTGTTATGTATCTACAGTATGTGTGTCTGCACACTTACAGCAGCAACCCCCGCTCTGCTGTGCTGCTTCTCTTGTTTGTCACTGTTAAGTGCACACACTGGTGACTTGCTGCTATTTCTGGAGAAGAGGATAAAAAAAAAAGTCAATTTGACAGAAAGTATGCATGGATGAAAAAATTTTTTAAATTTGCTCATCATCTCTACCTTCCCCATCTTGCTCACTTTCTGTCTCTCTTTCACTTTGTCTGTCTTATCTTTTGTTCCCTGCCTTCCCTGTCCCATCATTTTCTTTCTTAATCTTTTTTCTGTCCTTTTATGTTCTTTAACAAACGCTGCTGGTATGATGTATCTTTGTTGTTTGTCCTTGTAAAAACCTGGTGGGGCCACAAACTGATAGATAATTATACATATTCCTCTACTTCTTTTGATTTCTTCTACTATTTACATCACTTTCACACCGCCACTGACTCTTCTTTCTCATCTCTCCTTCTTGATCCAGGTGGTGAGTTTTCCTGGGGATTTCAGTTGTGCAGTGGCGGGCCTCATCTTCCTGGAATACACGGCCAGCGCTCAGTGGTCTGCTGAGCTGCTCGTTATCACATACGGTGGCGGGCTTAAAAGTTACCTGGTTAGGTGAGAGACAGAACGGCTTCCCTATTGCACCTAAAAATAATAGGGTTCACAGTCACAATATCCTGGAATAAATCCCCTACAGTGGTACTCGTGTTCAGCATTATTTCCAATTAAATCACCACAAATAATTGTATATTTTTTGGGGTAGGCAGCTCACATAGACACTCAGAACCACCCTGGGCTGTTTTATTATCTTCTGATTTAAATGCATGTTTATATTCTAACCTATATACAACAATACACCCTCTCTTTCAGATCTTACATGTCAACTGACATTTCCACTGCTCTCATCTTTTACTCTTTAAATGACAGTGCAGCCGCTTTTACTGGTTACACATCAACTGATATTTCAGCTGCTTTAATCTCTCGAATGGTTCTTGTGCCGCTGGACAGATCTGGCGCATTCCTTTCAAAAACTCGGAACCCTGAACCAATCATTTCCTTGTCTGCCTCCTTTCAAAACACACCAACATTGAGATCACTAAAGTATTTAAAAAGATCAGAAGAACCTGGAAGCAAGTAGAAAACTACACACGTGCTGTACAAGTGAAACATGCAGTCACTATAAAACTCACATTTGGCTTTTCCTGCATTCTTCTTCTACAGTCAGTCCTGTGTATTGCTGTAGGTAAGTCCACAACATTGTCTCAGAGCAGTGGTTGCTCCTGCATGAGGCATCGCGTGCGGGTGACTGACATTTCAAACCCTTCCAGGTCTCAGGTCTCTTAACTGTTCATACGCAATTTTGTATATTCTACACTCTATAGGACATTGCAGCCTATTTGTGGTATGATTTGATGCTACTTAATGCTTGTCTATATGTAAATGTGGGATAATACGTCTCTTTGAATACCAATTCCATAGCTTACCAGTCCTTATTCAAATACACATCTTGAGTATTTGATTAATGATGACGTCTGATTTTGTACTTGCAAGAGTCTCCATATGTGCTTCCCTTATGGCATTATTTGATATGCCATTATTTCAGAGATTTTCCGTTTAATTCTGCATGATTGCTGCAGTCACACCAAGCCACGGGTTAAGGTTGTGCCTGCGGGTTGAATCTCGATCAGACAACATCCTGCACTCTATGACTTCCCTTCAGTCCTGTGTGATGTTTGCCGAGAACGGGCAAAAATGCTGATTTTATTTTTCTATTACAGGCGGATAAATGGTGTTGGCTGCTTTTGAAGCCATCAGGGTGTGTGTGTGTGTGTGTGTGTGTGTGTGCGCGTGGAGGTAATTAAGATGTGGGAGACATTTGCACCAGATTTACTCTGAAAGTGCTGGCTTGTTTTTTAAAGGTTCATTTTCAGGAGGAGCTTATATTCACTCTTCCTCTTCATATGACTGCATTCCAATATTGTCGCTCAAACACTTTGAATTAGAATTTCAGAATTATAGCTGAGCCTTGACAGTAAGTCATCTCCCTTTCTCTCTCTCTCACTCTGTGCCAGCACTCCTGTATGTGTATGTGTGTGTTCGCGTAAACACAACTGCTTTACTGTGGTATAAACACCTAAACGTCTGGAGGCAGTGGAACTGTGGGAATCTTTCAGGTTTTTCCTTTGTGCTCTTTTTTCCCTACTCCCTTTCTCCTTTTCTCTATACGGTTTACATCACAAGGAAACATTTTCTCAATGAGATATCCCCACACGAACAACCCAACATCTTGTATAGTACCAATCTAATTTAGATTGCCCTCTTAGATTAGATTATATATATTGTCTCATTTTAATTGCAGCTGGGATTTAAATTGCTCTGTCATCATCCCCCAAAAAACAAGCTTTGTTGCACCAGTAAATGCACGTGAATGTTGATGTTTTGATTTGTTTTTGTAGCAGAGTTAAATTTTGGATGACTTGTCATGTGAGTATCCTTTCCCTTTCTCAGTGTTGGAACCAATCAAAACTTCCAAGAGAACCACAGCTTCAGCTTCTCTGCTCACTACTCCCATGGCATCACTTCGGCTATTTACCACCCCGGCCACCGGTAAGTTAGTCACTGCTGACAATCCAACACCCTATCAACCTCGAGTGACTGTAGAATATATTTGAAATAATGACTTCAATAATGATGTTTTCTGCCAAAATTCGGCCAATATTTTATTTATTTAATCCATCAATGGCAGTGTAATAATGCTGGTAGCATTCACACAACACGCCTTAGACGTTTTATTTTCTCTTGTGTCCTCCACGGTCAGAGCCTGCTTCTATTAGAACAGTGTTTCATCAAGGGTGTTGTTCATACATTTATATTCAGACATCCTTAGAAATCCTCTGAATCAATTTAAACCCACTCCTGATGATGCTACTTGATGCCATGTACAGCTTAAATATCAGAATTTTAAAGTGGCTGATTTCAAAGACTTTCATCATTTGATGTCATGGGCAATATGAGTTTACTCCAACTTGTCATCAATATGCTCATAAATATGTATTGCATTGATCACCGTGCAAGACCATAGTGGGAATTTGCTGCACAACAGTTAACGTAAACTGAAACTTTATTTTATCATGAAAAAAGTTGGTTTGCAGATGTCAGGGTTAAAATATTATTATAAAACAAGAACAAAAAAAAGTTCTATAAATATCAGATGATAAGACCTGAAAAAGAGGTAAAAGAAACAGCAGAAAAAACAAGGTTATTATGCAGTCATTATTGCAAAGGCATATGTTACATTATGAAATGGGGCCAAGAATAAAACACCTGCAGGAATTGACTATAGCGGTCTAAAATGCCCTTGGCCTTCCTCACCACGTAGCATCTAAAGGTTTCGGTTAATTATGTCTGGCTCACACCCGTGACCTCACTGTTTTCACCACGCTCCCCCAGTCTGCACAAACCAGATTTAGTTTGGCCGGTGAAGCTTGGTTTGGCAGCTTAATGGATTTTGGCAGCTACTGTCAAGTGTTTGCCAACTGATAGATGAGATGAAACTTTAATGATCCCTGTGTGAAAACTGGGTCAGCAACAGAGAGAATAGTATAGAGATAAGAAAAAAGGCAAGGTGAGAAGCTGGATATAAAAAGAATGAGTTCAACAGCTGAACATAAATCTGAAAATACTGTTTAGTAATGAGAATATAACCTGTTCAGGTTCAAGCAGACACTATGGAAGTGTTTACCAGTAACAGTTTTAAATTATGTGGTGCACAGATGGGATAACAAATACTTGGAAATGTTTCCAGATGTACAGTTAGACATTGTGATCTTTTAATTTTCATTTCATTTTGACAGACTTAATGCACTAGACTTGCATGCAAAAATGCAGATGTGCATCAGGGATGAAGTAGTCTAGCATCTGTTTTAATGAAACCTTATTATCACAGTATACAGAAAAAGGTGGCTTATGTCAGATGAGAGTCACCATGTTAACACAAAAATTAGCTTTCCATCAGTTTACTAACTCACCCTCAGCTCTTAGCTCTTACTAAATGTCCAATTTCTGTACACCAGGGGGCAGTGTTGAGCTGGACTGCGTTGCTCCAGCCACACCTCCCCCCTGAGTTTCTGACCGTTGTGGCATCTGTTCTTTTTCACTGCAAAGAGAGACCCATAGATCACTGTGGTCATTGTGATATTGTTGAAGTCTTATCTGATGAAAAACTTTTTAATCCACTTCTTTGCTAAGTGGCACTTCAGTAGTGTTAATCCTCACTGATACCTTGGGTCGTCCTCCAGCCTGGCTTGAACCCAGGCTGGAGGACGACCCCACAGTGACCACCTGTATTCGCTGTCCTTGTTATCCAATGCAAATCGATCTGTCAGGGCATAAGCATGGAGCTGGTAACCATGACTATGTGCGTGTGCTTGTTTTTCAGGTTGCTGCTCGTCGGGGGGTGTGAGTCGGGGGATGACAGTACGTCCAAGGCCTCTTGTTGTGGCATTACAGCCTGGAGGACTCTCTCTGGCTCGCCACACTACAAGCAGGTCACCAGCTATGAGGACGATGTCAATCCGGTGAGGAGAGCTACACACATGTTCATGCAGAGGTTATTCATGTCGATATCTAACACACACACACTATTGACATCCATTCTCTGTGTCTGGTAGAATCAGAAGAGAGGTTTCATCAGGATCCCCAGCATTAGATTCTTTTCCAGACAAGGGGATGAAAAGGTAACATGGAGCTCTTCTTTCCATTCTCCTCACTTATAATGAAAAGCCTAATGTGCAGGATCTGGAAGAATTGATAAAAACAAAAAAAAAATGTGTGCCTGCATTTGTCATGTCCAGGATGGCGTATTCCGCATGAGTCTGAGCCCCGATGGCACCCTGTTGGCTGTCATCCACTTCTCTGGTCGTCTGTCACTATGGGACATCCCCTCCCTCAAACAGAGGGCCACGTGGAGCCAAGACCAACAGGTACACCTCTAAGCCGCTGGTGTTTATGTGTATGCATGCATGATTTTGCTCATGTGGAATAAACCTGCATGCATTGCGGTTGTTGTGTGCTGGTAATATTTTGTATATTAGATGCTTGACTGACTGTATTAATGTAATCTCTGTCCCAAGAAATGAGTGTGTGTGTGTGCTCCCATTAGACAGTAAGTGAGGTGGCTTAGGGAGAAGTTATATTTGCAGAATATTTTGATGATTTATGCGGCGTGTGTGTACGTTCTGCTTCATTGCTGGTCTGAGCTGGCAGAGCTCCAGTGTGTGTGTGTGTGTGTGTGTGTATGCTATAAGTGTAAACAGGGTTAGAAGATTAATTTCTACACCCCCTCCCTTTTTCTTCTCTTCCTCCCTTCTTCTTCTTTGGTCCTTCCATCCTTCGGTCGTCCCTGCAGCCAGGATTTGAGGAGATCAACCCAGAGTGGAAGACATCGCTGGAGAGGAGGAAGAAAATAAAAGGTAGTTTGGCCTGAAGGGCTAAAGAGAGCCGACTTTGTTGCTGACACTGCAGTGCACGCTGGATACAATTTAATGATCTTTGACATGTCTTATTCACTGAATTATACCGTTATTTAGACATACAACCATATATTGTATGCCAAGGCTAGCAAATATTTTTCTCCTTCACAGTGTCCACGCTTGTGTGTGTGTTTCTGTGTGTATTCCATTTCTTTTGCCTTTTTTTTTTTGACAGTTTTGGGCCAGTAGTGGTGACAGCTGTGACAGCTTGTGTAAGCAATAATCTGTGTGAGTCTTCATCTCATGCATGACATGTGATAGATATGCCCACATGTGTAAATATGGCTTACAGTAGGAAAACAACTCATGTAATGGGGATAAGAGTATATGATCCCAAAAGGTGGGGCTAATAAATACAAATCTCTATTGGCTTTGGTCCACGCTCTTCTGTTGTGTAACCACATTTGTAAAACTGCCCTGACGTCTCTCCACGACCTGTCCCAGATAAGGAGCAGTACTACCCGCTGGTGGATGTCAACTGGTGGAGTGACAACGTGTTGATTCTGGCCCGCTGCTCTGGCTCCGTCACCGTCTCATCCGTCAGGACGCTGCGCAACCTGCTGGGAAAATCCTGCGAATGGTTCGAGCCCTCACCTCGAGTCACCGCCGCACACGATGGAGGCTTCCTCAGCCTGGAGGTAAATGTAAACATAGTGGTATAGTAAGTAGAGTAAACAAACAGAGGGAGTTTGTAAGGTATAGTTAGGCATGTGAGAATCATATAAGCATCCTTAGCTCTAGTCAAACATTATAGATGTTGGCCTTCAGGGTTTTGAAAGGCATATTATAGAATAAAAATAGTTTTTCATCCTGCTATCAATTTTCTATACTGCCTATTCAGTTCAGGGCCACACAGGGCGGAAGCCTGAACCAACATGCACTGGGAGAGAAAAGGAAACAAACTAGACAGGTTACCAGTCTATTGTGGGGATGTCAGTTGTTTTATTTATTAAAGATTGAAAACAAAGTGAGTGGTACAATATAATCAATCGTGTCTTTGCAGCACAAATGTGCGCATTGACTTGTGATGGATCCTTTGTGCTGCCATGATTCCCTAAAGGACGGATTTTATCTGTTATTGTTCAGTTTGTTAGCGTCGCTGTTTAAAGGCATGTGTATGTGTGTGTGTATAATGGCGTGCGATGATGAAATATGTACCCCTGCTGCTTTATCCCCCAACAAAGACCCTGATATCGCATCACCCTCCTCTTTTATTTCAGTCCTTTCGTCTGTCTTTATTTTTTCTAATCTGATTGCATAGAGAGAGAAGGTGGGGGGGTTTCTTTATCAGCCAGCTGCCAACTTTTTGGAAAGGTTTCATCATCCTGCTTCAGTGTGAAGCGGGGTGTGGGGTGCCTGAGTAGTTGCATCTACAGCTGAAGGTCTGAGTGCGTTGAAATGTGTGTTGAAATTACCTTGAGCATGCACTTATGCATCCACACGTAGAATAATGTGACCTTGTGTGTTTGTGATGATTGTTTGTGCATCTTCCCGTGTGCGATGAGTTTGGGTAGTCTATTTATGCAGCACTTTGGAAGCTGCCTCAGCTCCTCATTGATTAAGGTGCTTAACATTTTTACAGGTGCTAAATGTTTCATAAACCCTGGCTCTGCTAGCATTTTTCTCAAGTGAGCTAAAACACAGACAGGCATCACAACAATATACGCTGCATGTGTATGAAAAATGGGCAAATAATATTCCCCAAACTGAGGCTATCACAAAACTAGAGAGCCGGGCAAGACAAGTTGAAGGAAGTACTTTGGACAGCTTGGATTTAAATTTTCTATCGAGCAGCTTGACCTTGCTGTTGTTTTGTGTTTTAGACAGCCTGCTGATGTGGCATGAGGGTGTTAAATTAAGTGTGTTTACCAGCTAAAGCACAGCTAGATGTAAACTGTGCTGCATTGCATTCAATGCTTCATTTTTCATTCATCACTTCCTGCTGGCACAGGAGTGTCCACGCTCAGCATCCGAAAGTCATTCTGGGCAAAGGTTGTAAATCTGACAGCCTCAATCATCGGGAATGGGGCGTCTTCTGTTTTGCAGTCCTCACTTTATGATATGAGCCAATAAGACAGATGTATTTTTATGTAAAAAGACAACTGCGGTTTTATGATCAATTTCAAGCCGTGTGTTAGCAGTATAATTCAAAGTTATTTTCGATCACCTTTTTCTCACTCTTGTTCACTTTTAAATTCTTCTTCTTCCATCCTTCTTACCTTTTGCTGTCTCTCAGCGTACCCCCGTCCCATTCGTAACACTATATATTTTTTTTATCATCCACAGTGTGAGGTGAAGCTGGCTCAGAAGCGTGGGCGCCTGGAGAGCAACCTGAGCGGCGGGGCCAGTGAGGATGAGGAGGGTGATGACGGAGGAGACTCTGACTCAGACGAAGAGTCCTCAGCCAAAGCCCGCTACTTTGGCTATATCAAGCAGGGCCTGTATTATGTGACGGAGATGGAACGGTTCGCCCCGCCACGCAAGCGCCCCCGCACTGTTACCAAGAACTACCGTCTGGTCAGCCTGAGGTCAACAACACCAGAGGAGCTGTACCAGAGGAAGGTAGGAGCCTCACAGGGCTTGTGAAAGACTGGAAAATCAGTGTTGACATGGACCTGCTGAAACTTAATCCAACACTCCTGAAGCACTAAACTTGTATCTTGTTTAGAAGGGCAATAGCTTTGAATTTTGGCTCCAGAATGTGCTGCACAGGTAAAAAGCTCACTGAGTGCTCCTCTTGACATTGCTTTTTTGATGGCAGCTTTTTTGAATTTTTAGAAGACTACTTTCTCCCAGGCCTGAATCCATGTGGTCACATTTTTTGATGAAAGCGCAAATTTTGAAAGTGCTGGGTCAGATAAAGGGAGAATAATGGGACCCCAGTATGGCTATTCCCTTGCACAGCTTTCTGTTGAAATAGTCTAACCATGCCAGACTGGAGGCACAGCTCTAGGGACAGCGCTCAGTGGGTCCAACACTTTAGTCCAGACTGAAAAAATCCCAACAACTATTAAATCAATTGCCAGTTTTCCTTTAGCGCCACCATGAGCTTGACATTTTCGGTTGTGAGTTAAACGTCTCAACAAGTCCTGGATGGATTTGCTCCCTGCATTCATGTTCCCAATAGGATGCATTCTAATCTCTTTGGTGATCTATTAACTTTTCATTTAGCATTTTGTGAATGACCCAATCCCCTGCAAAATGAATGATTCCCATCACCCTCTGCTGCTAGCGATAGTCTTTGAGGTTTGAATGCATAGCCAGTTGGTTGGGTGGTTACTGAGTTGCCTGGTGACTGTTGTTACAGTATTCATATTTCATAACATCTACATAATTGCTGTGACCTGTCTGGACAGGTACTTTTTTATAGGACAGTTAAAGTTGCAGATGCAGTGCGTTAAACCCGGTAGGAGTCCTCAGAATGAGGTAGCACAGCCATAATAGGGGAAAATGAAGAGTCACATTTCTGTTACTGTTTACTTATTCACTGCGGCGCACACAACAAAATCCTTATATGCTTAGTCGAGAAAAGCTTTCGTCAGTGATCATGCTGGAGTGCCTTCATGTGTGGATTTGAGTTCTTTTAGCTCAGCAATCTAAACAACAGCTCCAGAGCTGACGTGCAGTTCTCTGCCTCACACAGTGTTATAAATTCATTTTGGCAAAGAAGCTGATATTACCTATTTAATATTTCAAAGATACTCCATTTGTAATTATACCACCCCTTTTTTAAGGCCTTTATCATATTCAGGCTGATATATCTGCCTTAGTGTAATGCCAGTAATCATTTTTAAGAGCAGCTGTCAATTCTCTTCAATCCTGGATATCACATTTACCAAGAAACTCTTCATTTCTTTTTGCCACTTAATTTAGCAGCAACTGAAGGACGTCATATGTATCCGTTTGGTCACTGACGGAATTATAACAGGCCGATCTGCAAAATTGGTTTCTGACTAAATAAATCCTGTGCCAGCTCAGTGAAGTGCTATTGTTTTGTTGGATCAGCTCCAGAGTGCTGTTGAGGAGAAATGAAAACCAAGCAAGATGTTCAGCCCGCTTTAAGGCTATTTCTCAGTCCCAGGGGTTTCTCTGGAATTCTAATTGCTGCATTAGAAATATGGCTGTTGTTGCTACTCACTACAAATTGCAGCAAAGACAACAACATGCTCTATCACAAAGCACAGTATCGGCTCTCAATGGTCCCAAGTTTGAGCATGGTTCATCAGTCATTTTTATGACCCATCATCTATTTCCTTCTTCATCATTGTCATCATCATTAGACACCATTAGTCATTACCATCAATCCTAACAGTGGAGAGTTACAAAGTAATATATCATTATTATCTCTTTGTAACACTTGGTACCCGCAGCACTTCCCCAGCTGCTGCTCTGGCTCTCCTGTTGGAATTTTTCTATTCACATGTACCACATGTAGGCGTGTGAGTGAAGACAATACAGACGCTGTATTGTCTTCTTCTGCATGTATTTCGGTGTATGCGTATGCATGTATATGGGTGTCAGCGCCTGCATATTGCTTGTGTTATATTTCTACAGTTGCACACACACCTACACACCTATACACACTCTCACCCACACACCCTCACACACATACACACACACGCACAGAAATGACCTGATCTCTCCTCAGAGGTTCACCTCATGTGAGGTTTGTTGTCCAATCGTCTGCAAATAGACCAGATGAAGCGATTCTGGGTTATTTCCTCTAGTCAGCCTCTTCATGTGTTCATAAGTTTGGTGTCGTAACCCTGCCTGTGAGAGTAGCACACTGGCAGGGCTGATAACAGATTTATTAGCTGAATCCAGAGAGAGAAAGAAGCAGTTTTTGATGTCCTCCTACGTGAGGTTTAACTGTGTGGGGTTCTTATTGCCCTCGAGGAACCGCAGTCTGGCTAATGTGTTGCTTTGTACTCCTACACACAGAAAGAGATGGATGCGCAGTGTGTCAGTCAGCCTGTTTGCACACATGTACTTTCACACACATTGAGTGGGCTTGGATAACTGAGGTGTCATGCTGTTAGATAAAATAATTTAAAAAGACACTGATATGACACAAAACCTCTTTCAGCATCATTATGTGATAGCATCCAAGCCAGGCTTATTTAATAATAATACGGCATTAATGACAACAACCAGCTATTGCTGCTACGGAAGAGAAATATACAGTAACAAGACAAAGAGGCTACAGTCGTGCTAGTGTCTCTGTGAGGCTGTACTTGATCGATGATCTGTGATTTGAGCAAACATCAGAATGCTAGGTGTAATGTTTATTATGCTTACCATCTAAGTGTTTAAAAGCACTAATGATCATATCCCCTGACTTGTCCTTTATCAGGTCAAAAATGTGAAGTACATTTGGTTTAGGATCAAACACCTGCAAAACTAATTACCTTGCCATCATGCTTACATGCTAAACTAAGAAGATGAATATGGTAATCATACCTGCTAAATATCAGCATGTTAGCTGTGAGTATGCACAGCTGCTAGCTGGCTGTAGACTTTTTGTGTTTGTATTATTTTAGTGAGGCAGTACTGTTGTGTGTGAGATTAAGTCCCAGTATCCAAATCCTGATTTGATTTCTTTTCTTCAAATATCCCCAAATATTTTATTCCCCTTCAGCCATTCTCCTTATCCCTATGTAGCAGACCCTGTCCAGACTGTGTCACATTGCACATTGCTTCACAGATTGAAATCTGCATGTTAGAGCTGTTCCTATTCAGTCTTTGAGCATTCAGAGTGCGCACTCAGGATTTCGGAAGTGCCATTGCGTGCGCGCAGGTTTATTCAAAGCCTTGGCTTCTTTGTCCTTCAGTGTGATGGGAAATTGGGCAATGGACTTTTCTCCTGTGTGTGTTTTATTTTGCCTTGATAATTGCTTTAAATATTGTGTGGTTCGAATTTGTTTAGTGCATTTTATTAATTTAATTTTGTCTAGGAACACAGTGCATGAAGATTAAATCAGTAATATACCCTTGGAACCTTAATTGGATATTAAAATTTTTTTTTTTTAAAAACAACTCCCACAATATGAAATGACTTTTATTCTGTATTGTATTTTTGTACCTAAAGTTTACATCACAACATTTGCTCTGTGCCTGCCCAATTTCTGGATAATCTTATCATCAAATGGATTGTTCCTGTCATTTATAAACATTAATTCGCTCATCTTTTCTCATGGCACATGTTTGTTTTAGTGCTGTCCACTCCATAATGTGAAGAAAACATGCATATATATGTGTATATATAGCTAGATCATGTCCTCATAATGTGTTTATTTTGTGCATTTTTGTTCATCCCACAGATTGACAATGAAGAATATGGTGAAGCCCTGTCTCTTGCCCAAGCGTACAATCTGGATTCTGACCTTGTCTACCAGAGACAGTGGAGGAAGAGTACCGTCAGCATCGCTTCAATACAAGATTATCTGGTAAAAGATAGAAGAAATAAGAGAGATAGATGTGAGGAAATGAGGAAAGGAGGAGGAGAGAAGGTTAAGAAGAGAGAGAGATGAAGAAGTGTATCAGTTTTGGTGTTTATCACAGTATATTAGATGTCTGGTAAGAAATATATAGTGTATGTGTGTGGGCGAGTAGTGCACTGCACACGCTTAAGTGCAGCACAACCCCCTTACTCTATTTCACGCATCATTTTTACCAATTTGTAGCAAATTTTCACACCCTTCCCTCCTAATTCTGTATCTCATTTTATCCCATCATTTCTTCTGAACTCCTTCCCTTTCTTTCTTCCCTCTCCTTCCATTCCCCTACGTCTGACCCAGAGCAAGATCTGCAAACGCTCATGGGTGCTGCACGAGTGTGTGGAGCGCGTCCCAGAGAACGTTGACGCGGCCAAGGAGCTGCTGCAGTACGGCCTGAAGGGAACCGACCTTGAGGCCCTCATAGCCATAGGAAACAGGGAAGATGGGGGCAGGTAGGGTGTTCCAATACATGATCACACGCCAACGCAATCCTTGCACATGCATAGTCTAAAACAGCCAATTGATTTTTATCAGCTTCTCATTCAACCTGAGGCTCGTTCTGTATTTACTATTTAGCTACAGTATGTGTCATCTCCTTGCCATTGCCAGGTTTATCATGCCAGGCGACGTTGACCTCGATGACCTGCCCTACGAAGACATCCTGTCAGACGATGTGGAGCTGGAAATTAAGAAGGAGAAGGAGGGCAAGAAGAGACAAGAGCTGTTGGCTAAGGTCGACTTCAGCAGGTACACAGACGGTCGTCAGACTGTTGGTTAGTCAGCTCAGTTATTCAGCCAGACAGCAGATGAATACAGAAAGTCACAGCAGGCAGAAGTGCTGCCAGTGTTCTGAGCGTACAGAGACTAGTGCATTTATTTGAACAAAATCACCAGGGCTGCATGGCTCATGGTTGCAGAGACCATCCTTCAGCTAGAGGACCCAAGCTTGGTTGGCAAGCATCTGCCTTTATGAAATGTCCTTGTGCAAGTTACCAAAGCCCCTATTTCACACATAAAATCCTTTCACAGTATGATACTCCTTTCTAGGCATGCCAGCAGCATGTCTTTAGGAATGGCAATGTTGATCTGCCAGCAGGTGTGTTTATTGGTTGGCTTGGTGGTTGGTCGGTTGGTTTGTTCACCACTTATGTCCCTGACTACGTGGACATTCATGGTCCCCAGAGGATGATTTGTAATATTCTGGATCCCCTAACCTTTCATCTAGCTTCACCATCAGGTCAACGTTTAATGCTTCAGTTTATGACCAGATACCTGGGACAGTATTAGAACTCAGCTGTTTAGTACTAATTAGCAAATGTTAGCATGATAGCGCTATAGAATCCCTTTTTTGCACTTTTGTTGGATCTCAGGTTGTTCTTTTTGCGAATGCGTCTCCATGCTGTGTAGTGAGATGAGCCTTCTAAATTTGCTGTCAACACTTTTATTTATAAATACCAACACAGACTTCATAATTCTCGACCGGGAAAAAAGGTGGGAAAATAGCGTTGAGAAAACAAACCTTCACATGGTGTCTGTATTTGGCAAAAAAGTAATGTGTAAAAGTAAAAGTGTAAAAGTATGTGGTGGAATTTTAACTGTAGAAATTAAGGACATGGCAGATTCTCATGGGATTAAGATCACAGACAACCTCTGCAATTATTATAAATTACTACAAGTCCACAGACAGTAATACTCCTGTGCAAATATAGGGCGTTACTTTTGTTACTAAATCGCAGGAAGTAGTTTGTATAGTTTTTCACAAAACTTTCAAGACCGCACCACCTGAATTCAACACCAGCTTCCGACTTTGAGTAGCAGTTGTTAGGTGGGTGGTAAAATCCAGATCCTGACCTGTGTGAATTGCCTTGTTGGCAGGTTGATGCCTGCTGTATGGAGAGCTTAAATTAAATCATTATTATTCACAGTGTCAACTATAATGATAGGTGTTGCGACTGCACTTTGATTTGTTGAAAATAACGAAAAGGAGAGATTGTGGCGAAGGTATTTAAGGTGTAGACAAGGAAAACCGTGAGGAAATGGGAGAGAAGGCTGCCAAATGTAACACTGATTGTTTGATTAGGTCGCACACTGGAGAGGGGATCATAAAGGCAGGGACATTAATGAGGATGAGGGGGAGAGAAGGAGTGAGCATTGGTGGAGATTAGTGGGTAATCTGCTGGAGGTAATTTATGCCTTTGTTGTCGAGTGCCCAGGGAAAGACTAATGAAAAACCCTTTAGTGATCACTAATCACCTCTCATACACACACACACACACACACACACACACACACACACGCATGCAAATACACACTCCTATGTATCATAAAAAACTCTCAAGCTTAATGAGTTCATACACACATTTGTTAAAAATGACAACGTGTAAACAAAAAAGTCATATACTTAAAGGAATGACGCACATTAAAAATGCATATCCATGCTGTGTTTATGCAAACAAACGTTGTGCGTACAGGTATTTCAAGCTTCAGTAGCCGGATTGTGTGGGTCTCTTGTTCTTCACACCCCAGACACTTAACCAGTGAGCCTCCAGTCTGCGTTTGAGTGATAAAGAGCAGTAGCGGTGTAATATTGAGCTCCTGTAAAATCTCCTCTTCAGTTCCCTGTTTAGGTTTTTTTTTTTTGTCCCCTTGCCCGTTTGATTTTCTTTCTGTTTAACTCATTGTGTAATAAAACTGTTTAGCTTTATTGCGGACCTGTAGTCCATGGTAGATAAAGAAAAGATGGAGGATAAGAAAAAGATATAAGAGGGAGTAAAAAATCAATAACTCTACATTAAATCGTCAGTGAATTGCCTTCTTTAAATATGCCGATTTTTCTCCTCTCTATCTCTGAGTTGTTGTGTCTGCCAGGCAGCTCATACATGTGTCCAAAAAAGTTGTTTATATATACGTGTGTGTGTGTGCGTTTGGTGCAGTGGAGCCCCTCACTAATGGATCCAGTCATGTTGCCTCGAGGCCTGTGGCCGAGGCCTGAGACAGATAATAATTCTCTTAATTTCTTTTTAACTACACCACCATTACAGAAATGGCTTGGTATCGATCACAGCTGCTGTGCATGTCTGTGTGTGCGCACGCTTTTTGTGTGTGAGATGCTCCTGTGTTTAGATAAGAACTGTATTTAACTACTGCCTGTCACAATGAGTGCATCTTTTGTCTCACCGCATGTTTTGATGTTGTCTGTGTGTTTGTGTGTGTGTCTCCAGTCTGTAGAATGAAATAAAATCTGATTATTGTTCTCTTGGGTAAGAAACAGAAAAAAATGACTTTTGGACTCCACTCTTAAAGATCGTAATTGACAGTTCTTGTCCAGGAGAGAATCACATTTTCAATAATGAAACCAATCAATTGATTTCAGGTGTCTTATGTAGGATGCTCAAAGATTTCCCTCTCCACAAACACAGGTTGTATAAGGAACCCAATACAATGACGGATGTTAATGTACTCTCCCAGCCTTCTAGTACATTTCTCTTGTTACTACCAGCTTTACTCCTACAGGCAATGTGTTGTACTTGCATTCAGTTATCCTGAAATGTAATATCACATAAAATACAGACTTCCTCAGGACTTGGTTATTGGTTTTTATTCCTAACTGTCACGCACCAGTTGGGTGTTGTTCGTCTTACATGTGTTAAAACCATTGTTTTGGCTGCATGCAGACATTTTTATCTTTTCGCCTCTTTTTCATCAGTCTGCGTATGCATAATAAAGTATAATTCAGAATCTGCCGAGGGCCATTATAACTGCTGCTCTGACTCTCTGCATACAGCAACAAGATGGACAATACTGCAGTTGTAATGTGTGTGTGCGTGTGCATGAGAGACAAAGAGAGAGCGAGAGATTGGGGGTGGCGGGGTGGGGGTGTGAAGATGAGAGTGTGCAATCTGCTGCAAGGTGTTCTTATCTGATCAGATCCAGACCTCAATCAGAAGTCTCATTTTCTCATTTGCTCCAGCATTGGTCGTGTCTGTGTGTCTGTGTCTGTGTCTGTGTGTGTATGCGCAGTCAACTGTTTATGCTTTTACTGTGGTGTCCATGTGAAGGCATGAGCCGAAGTGTTTTTGTCTGTTTATGCAGTCCAATTTTGTACCTCACACTGTGTGATAATCATTTTTATCGCAAAGTGCAATTCTGCGTGTGTGAGTGTATGAGTGTGTTGGCCTGTTTATACTGTTCAATCTCTGTCCAGTACAGTCATATTCAAGGTGTTTGTACAGAGATGGAGGAGCGATACCATCTGACTGTAATAATCTGCAGTTTTGATAGCTTCCAAATACAAAAAGCTCACATGCACGCGCATACACATACACATATGTTGAAGCAATCAGGATTCAGTCTTTTTACATTTGACAGCATGTGCCATGATATGTAACAGTCTGAAGAACAATTTAAGTTCACATTGAATCTTTAATCTTACAGCCCTCAGTCTCCATTCAGATGTGTCGCAGTGTTTTTGTTCATTCTGGTCCTTTCTTAACTACGTTATCCCCCCTTGAGTCACTGTTTATTGTAAGGGCGATTCAGAGAACTAATATAAACCCTTACAAAGGCACAGGGACTCTGTTGCCCTTTTGGTTTATGGACAGGTTGCCTATTTGTATGTGTAACAGTGTAGTACACACTGTTTATGCTGTACTTGAATGGAATTCAGCAGTAGGATTTGCAATTTAGAAGCCAGAGACGTGGACTGAATTGAACATTCAGCCCCCTCTAACCTGTTGGTGGCCATTTCCATAATGCTCTGGACCTTTGTCAAGACTGTTTTAAATGATTCTTACAACGTTGATTGTTAATAGATAATGCTCTGCCCACTCTGTGTGCACAGGTTATTCTCCTGTGGGGCGTGTCTTTGAGTTATTGGGACATGTACAATCTGTCAAATTATATTCCATATATAAGAAAAGGAAGAAAAAAGACAGGAACAAGTAAGATGCCCCGGCACATAATTTTATGAATTTACAACAATATTTACAGAAATTAAATATCTGAGGAATGAAAACATCAGCCTTGCAGCTTTTATAAGTCATTCAAAGTTCAATCATCATGTAATCATCATGTAATCTTGTATCTTGAGTGTACAATAGGTCTATAAAAACTTGAAACTCCTTAGAGCATGACATGTCCTGTTATCTAATCATTCAGTCCTTTGGGAGAAAAAAAAAAGTAAATTAGATATCCAGTATACTTCTCTTCTAAAAGGTATTCCATGTCATTAAAAAGTGCTGCTGTGGGTAGTATCTGCCATTCCTCTATATGGAACGCTTGTTTTCATTCATATTCACGCTCTAATGAACGTGCATCTTACCAACATATGATAACCCACAAAGACATTTGATCATGCTAAAGTGCAACACGTGATGACATCACTGATGAAATTATTTTTTTTCCCAGTGTGAAGATGAGTAGTTGCTTTTGACTATGTTATTAGATTGTGCACATCATCTGCATTTGTAAACTGCATCTGAGATAGCAAAATGCATTTTTACAGATTTTACATTTAATTTAATAAGCATTCTTGCAGTAATTGAGAGTTTTATCCAAAGTTTAGTCAACCAAATTGAAATTGAGGATGTCCTATGACCATGTTTTCCTCTTTTGAGGCCATTTTGTTTGTATTCGAGTTTATGATTGAGCCATCATACAAAACCTCAAGAGTGAAACAGACGGGTGAAATAGCTTTCTAACATCTCGTCTCCTCTCGTCTCCCTCTCTCTTCCCTCTCCTTCCTCCACCTCCACTTCTCTTACTTTGCTCTGAAGAGGCAGAGCAAAGCAATAATTACCACTAGTACGAGTGCTAAGCCGCCACTCTTTGATGTGCCAGAGAGTGTGTTGAGCCAGTGTTAATCTCTGTTAGTCTGTGTAGAGGAACCCTGATAAGGGCTGATAGCGCACGCTGTAATGAGGGATTAAGGATTAAGACGGCGGTGGAGGGGTCAGCTCTCCTGTGGTTACACTGCGGTTGATCCAGGCTACATTTTTCAGGAGTTGTGGGCACCACTCCCTCTTGGTCAGGTTGTTTCCTTGTGGATCAGACTTGGGTGTGTGAGTATGTGGTGAAAAATGTTTTATATTACTGCAAGTATGTGTGATCCGAGGGGGGCATACCTGACCACGTGCAGTAGCTTTCAGCCTTTTGGTTCTTTTCCCTTGGGCATACCTCGAGTGATTGAATTGTAGGTAGATCCTATATAGCCTAGCGCCTTGGTGTTTGGTGGTCATCCAATTTATTTATGGTCGTGATTAAATGACATTGAAAATTGATTTGATTCTCACAGGGCAATCGGTCACCTCATTGACAGCTAGCATTCCATACATAACAACTGAAGGGTTCTTGTGGTCATAAGGAGTTGATTTGTTGCCCTTAGAAAATGATTAGGTCTAGAGGGCACCATGTGGTATTGTAGTCACCAGTCCCAAGCATTGTTATATAGGTCCCTGTGGGTCTGCTGTATAGGGTCAATTTACAGTTAATTTAAAGCCAGAGTGTGTGTTAGTGGAGAGTATGGACTGAGCTTGAAGTTTGATTGGACTGTGGTTAGAACAAAACACTATTCAGATGTTGTAATTTGCCATTTTGGATGGTAATTGTGATGTTGCTTTGAAGTGCTTTTGCAGGCATGCTGTTGATATGTGTGTGTGTGCGTGTGCGTGTGCATGCTCAGGCTGACTCTGGAGCAGAAGGAGCTGTGTCGGAGCCGACTGAAACTGCTCTCCTACCTGGACCGGCTGGAAACATACGAGGTAACAACAATCACCCACCTTTTTTTCTTTCTGCTGCTGTACCACCAGACTTAAGGACAGCTTCTTCCCTCAGGCTGTGAGACTACTAAATGTATCCTCAAAACTGCATCATTCATTTTTGCAGCATTTTCAGCATAAAGGGAACTACGATCTAAATTTCATTATACAAGCCTGCGTTGTAAATGACAATTAAATAATCTTGAATCCTTGAATCCTTTCTAGTACACTGGATCTGCCCTTGGAAATCTTACACATAGTAGAACTTCAGGTTATGTAATAACTGAGATGTCCTCTGATTATTCTATCGATCAATTGTTTGTCTATAAAATGTCAGCAAGATCCCGAGGTGACGTCTTTCCTGTTGTCCGCCTGACAGACCAGAACTCAAAAATATGCAGATTAATATGATAATTGTTGCCATTTTTGCTTTAAAACAACACTAATAATCCATTATCAAAATTCTTGCTTTAATAGTCTGTTAAACTACCAGTTGTTTCAGCTCTAGATCTAATAACGACTCTGAAGCATCCAATTGACAAGTGTAAAAGTCTGCAGGTCACTTAACCGTGGTAGGGTTCACTGATATTTCAGAGATTACTTTAACACCCTGTCTGCAGCCTGTCAACAGCAGCTCCAGTCCTCTGTCAGTGTCTGCAGCAGTTGGAACCCCTTTAGCCACAACTGTTTGGGTTTGATGGCCTGATGTGGTTCAATTTGGGGGCCCTTGACAACAAAAGGGCCCGGAGTGGAGCCAACAAGCTCACTGGAGTCTGAAATGATGTTTTCCAGGCTGATAACTCATTACATAAACTGAGCTCTCGAGAGTTAAGCTCGCCTCTTAACTCACAGGAAGGAGAATGTGTTTGAAGTACTATTAACTACTATTAAAATTATACAAAGCCACTAAAGGACCGTATTGTGTGTTCATTAACACGTTTGCAGAAGACACAAGCTAATTCAGTGGTTTGGTTTAAAATTCTTTATTGCTTGGTTTTCCCATTGGCAACCTAATTCCTCCTCCTTTCGTATCCAATCCCTCCAAAGCACAGAGGCTTTTCTCACATGCCTTTTATCAATACTCTCTCTTAACCCCACTAATCTCTTTAGAAATATTGAAAAGTTGTAGAAGATATTTATGTGAGAGGCATTCAAAGTATGTAAATAAAAGAATGGTTTAGTAACTTGCTGTGGCAAATTTGCTGTGGTTTTAGAGGACTACAGTACACGAGCATCAGCGCAGCGTAGATGGATACTTGCTTAAAGTGGAACTTGTGACACTTGCAACTACTCAGCAGCACTTCGGATTTCAGATTTACGATGAATAATGTTAACATGCACGCCCTTCTCATCCGCGATAAATCACAGACGAACAGGGCCATACTTTCTCCCATGCAGGAGAAGAGGAGAGATGAGATTATGCCCTGCTAGATATTCAACTCAGACAGAATGACGTCTCTCTCTTTATTCGGACATTGTCATGGTAACTGCAGCACTCGTCAGATTCCTTTTGCCCCAATCCATTTTCTCTGGCTGTCTATGAATATGATATTAGGGTTTTTATCATCCCGACTTGGGCTGGCTCTGTCTGCATAAGGCCCATTCAGAGGCTATCCATCAGACTCGCGCACACACACATCTACACAACGACTCACGCACACACACACACACACACACACACACACACACACACACACTGGCGTAGAGGATGCTACTGAGATTTTATACACGCAGACACACATAAATCACTCTAAGCCAAAGGCCAGGGCAACAAATGTTCCCTCCTGACATATGCGTGTGCACACAGTTACACACTCTCTCTCTCCTACCTTCCTTAGATGGTTTCAACTAAAAGGACAAGACAGCTGTGTGCTAGAAAGTTAAATAGCACCTCAGTTGACTTTGTCTTAGTGCATTCATTTGCAGTCACATCTTCTACTCACTCTTTTCCTCTTATCTCTAGTTTGACTTTCTACCCAGGAAAGATAACCGTCTGCTTCACAAATGTCTTTTTATGAACCACAGTTGTATTCCGTCTCCCTCAATTCCTTCTGGTCTCTCTCTCTCCCCCTCTCCCTTACTCTCTTGCTTCACACTCTCCAGGAGATCCTTGGCGGTCCTCATGCAGCCGAGCAGAAATACGATGCAGAGTTCTTCAAGAAGTTCCGCAGTCAAAATATTGTTTTGTCAGCGAGAAACTATGCCAGGGTAACATCAGACTCAGACTCTCTAGTCATCTCACTTAATTTTCTTGTCTTAGCTTGTCTGCTTTTCCATTTGGCCCTAATGTGATATGCACTTAGTTGCCAGTTTAGTAGGTACACAAAACTAATGCAGTCTAATACAACAGTCCTGCAATAAATCCTACTTTCTTGAAGGTTATAGTGTTCAGTTGTTGTCAAAACTGTTTTACCCTCACTGATTGGACAAAATAATAGAAACACCTGTTGTTTGGTGTACTTAAACTGGCAACTGTGTGTGTGTTTATTTGTATTTCCTACAAAATGGCTTTGGGCCTGTTTGTTCACTAATATATTACATTAGTATTTGCTGCTCCGTGTCAAATAATAAGATTCAGATTGCCATTTATATTTGTAATGTAATCACATAATTAGCAATTTCTTTTGTGTAATTTAAAATCAGTTGGGTAAAAGTTTTCAGCTGTTGGATCATGCATTTGCTTGCCTGCAGGAGAGTAACGTGCAGGCTCTGGACATTCTGTTCACGTACCACGGCGCAGAACTCCTCCAGCATCGGCTAGCTATTCTTTACAACTTCCCAGAAACCACCTCTCCGCACGAGTACACCATCCTGCTGCCCGAAGCCTGGTGAGACACACACAAATACACACAGTCATTAAGGGGGGAAAAAAAACAAGAAATCATCATTTTTGACTTGTCATTTAAAAATGTGCTTAATTGAGAAATGGAGGGATAGTCCTGGACTCCACTCACTGAAGGCTCAAAGCAAAGTGCCCTTTCAGTCATTCAGATTAATCTTTGTGTGTTTTTACAGACAGTTTTTCTAAGAAATAACTATAAACCATTATATTCTTGTCTATTCTATACTCAGTATTGTATTTTCCTCTTAACATACTAAAAAGGAATCCATTCATATGTACTGATGCATTGATAATGATTATGAAAGCACTTGAAAATAATGGAAATGGACATCTACAAATGGACATTTCAGAAATATAGCAACTAGTAGTTTTTTTGTATTCCCCCCCCCTTTTTTACGATTCACTTTTTAGGCAAAGAAGCAGCAGGTGTAAAAATACATGCATTACCACAGGAACTGGCACCCTTTCTGATGTCTGAAAATTTACACCTCTCTGGAACGCACAAGTTGCACTTCTCACTACATTTCAAATTAAAATCACCTAAAACTGGAATCACACCTGTCTCGGTGCGCGCACTCAAAGGTCTTTCTCACTTCCTCTTCTTTGTTCTCACCTTCGCACATCGGGGATCTTTTTTGCTCGAAAAACTGCACACACAAACAAGCTTATGTAACTATAAGTGTACACGCATCGCCACAGTTTAAGACATTGGAAAACACAGCACTGAAATAAAAGGAGAGAGACTCAGTTTACATGCAAACAAAACTGAACACCTTAATGTGATCCGATACTAGCTGCAGTGATTGCAGTTGTCTGCCTGCACTTTGGTCTTGTTCGAGTTTTCACCTCGCCGTTTCTGCTTTTGGGATTGGAGGAACGCCGAAGGGTAGGGAGTTGTGGAGGGGATATTTGAGAAGGAGATGATGGAGGAGTGTTTTGGAGGGGAAGAAGTCATTCCTCACCCCTTTATGGTTCACAAATAGAGGTGACAGACTGGATTTACCGATGAGTGCAGCCAGCCATCCGTTGCTCCTTTTTTGTTTCCTCTAAGCCGCTTTTTCATTTTACTCCTCTCCATTTTATTTCACCCTTTCCCCTTCCTCCATTTTAGACTATACCTATATACTCTGTGCTAGCATTTAATTAATAATATCCCACATACACATTTATATAAATAAGCACATGAATACAAGTCCCCTGCAGTCATGAGCTAAAAAACATACACCATATAGAAATTATTGTTCTTACGTCTTTCACCTAAACACACACACACCCACACACACACACACTGCCACTGCTCCCTTTTATTAGCCATGTCTGAGTTTGTATGGAGGTCAGGCAGCTGTGGCTCTGCAGTGAGCATCCATCATGGCGTTGCCGCTGTGGGGCAGTTTCCTATTTTCCCCAGCCTGTGAGCACCAACTGCTCCTCCCAACAGCTCTCGCTCCTACACTGCAGCAGACGGAGTCGGCTCCAGCCATCTGTTTGGAGCTCACTGGCTATATACTAAAGTCTTGCTTCATTGGAAGGGGAAAATATTCTCCTGTAATATTGATCAGGTCTGCAAAAGGGACCTCTAGATGCATGGAAGAATGCAGAATAGTCATATTTTGTTGAAAACTTTGCCGGCAGCTTGAAACGGGTTTGGCCCAGTGGAAATAAAAATAAACTAAAACGCCTGCTCCAGGTTTGCTTTGCATCTCCATTTTCCTCCCGCCCCGCTTGCCTGGCTCTCTCAGGCTGACGCGGAGTAGATTAGGGGTGCAGGCGTGGAATAATTCATTCCTCCCATCAATATCCGAGGCTCTCGCACCAATATTTGCTCCCCACCCTCTAACCTGGCTGTCTTTAATGAGGAAAGAGGAGCTGGGAGTTGGGGAACGACAGGGGAAAAAAGAGAGCAAAAGAGGAAGAACTGAGACTTCTCGATCTCTGTCGTCTGTGTGTTTAAAATCCCAATGGTAACGGATGAACTTGCGCTCGAGTGTTGGTAAAACTCTTCCCACTTTTGTGTGTTGACATAAATCACATCGGCTACTCGGACACTTCTTATGTATTTTGTGATTGGAAAGAATTTATGGCCGTGTAAAAAAAACTGCTGCAGCGCGTGTGCACTCGGCCTTTAACTGCACCAAAGCTATAGATGATTTGTAGCCCGCGCTATCTCCTTGAGTTTTACAGCCCCACTACATATTTTTCTGTCTACAGACAAATAGATAACAAGAAGAAATGCATTAATCCTAGAATAAGAGATAAAAACAGCTCAGTATGTGTGCATGCATTCACATACTGCTGTAAGTGTGCGTATGAGTGTCTGAGTCTTGTCAGCACTGACACGCCAGGTTACAGAGTCATTCTTCACTTTAGTTCCTTTTCTTGTGTGTTCCCTATTTGTCTTCCTCAGACCTGTCACACTCAAGGAGACCAGGAAGAAGTAAAGCTTAGTACCAACACGACGTTTAGAAAATAAAAGTCCTCGCTATTTACAACCGAGGCACGACTCAGACTGTTTTCGAAAGTTCTTTGACTTGTTTATCGTTGTGCTTTTGTTTTTGTTTTTTTTCTCCAATCCGTTTTTCCCTTATTATGCTCCGCTGTTTCCATTTCCCATATGTTGCTGCCTTTCACCACTGTAGTTTATGACCGTATTTAGTTTGAGACAGTAAATGTCTTTGCTGATTTATCAGGTGCCATAATAGGGTGGGTGTGGTGCGGTTTATTTTTTGACTACTGGCTTCTCATTGGTCTTTGTTCTCATATGTACGCTTTATTGAGATATTTCCTATGTTTTTCTCCCCAAAACTCCTTCTTCCTCCAATTTTGTATCTCTCTCCTTCTCTTCTTCTGTCTCGTTCTTCCCTTTTTTACTCTTTCTTCCTTTTTGCCTCATTCTGTCTCTTTGCGCCTTGTTCTTTCACTTTTTTCAGTCTGGATGACAGAGGTGAGTTGGTGTTGATTCCATGGGATGAGCAGAGGCACAGAGAGATGGACTGGTGCGAGGCAGAGGAGTGCAGGTAAACAGTGAACATCGGCTTTGACAGGAACACACCGACATTATCACATTGCACACTAAGCATTGTAATAAACCAAGCTTGGGCAGCAGGTTTACAGTAGTAAAATCTCTCCATCCCTGTGATAACAAAGCCTCTCGCAGTGTAGAATTGTTAAAATTCATACTCCATACAGGCCAGATGCTTGTGCTGGCATCATTATGTGAAACAAAACATGACATCCTATTATCTAAATGTTAAACAGAACCATAACAAACTAATACCAAATCTTGTTGTGCTGCCAATTTATGCCATTTGCCTGCTTCTGTAGGGAGGCCAGCTTCATTTACAATTTTATTTAGCGAGCTCTTTTTTTATTGCTCTTTGGTGTAGAGTCATAACATCAGTTGGCTATTGGGGTATGCTTGGCAAGGGATTGCAAGGGTGAAATTGTGATACTGTGATTGTGTGATGCCAATATTTGTTTATATGTTTCTCTCCCACTTTCCTTTTTTGACATGTTATATACTCATTCTCCCATTTTTTCTTTCCCTTCTCACTCTAACCCTATAAACTTGAAAGGGTAAGAGCGGTGATATATGTTTGTTATTCTCAAACAAATCCCATGAGAATATCAAAAAATCAACTTAGCGTTAGTCTGTCTCTAAATACCTTCTGGCTTCCCCATCCTGTTTGTGGCTCTCGACCCCAAGCCCATTGATTGCGGCTGAACATGGACGCCTTTAATTATGGACCATGAATATATTACTTTCATTTTAAAATGCAAAATTTACTGCAGCAGGAGAGTAAATGTGGGACTGAGTCAAAACAGTGCCCATGTTCATGGTAATGAAGAAACACGGTTGCAGACACCAATGTGGCTCATTGATGTGTTTTTAAATTGATTTTGTAGGAATATGTATGCTCTTGTAATGGGTTTTGCTATACGAAAAATACAGATTTGTCTTTTAAGTTGCCTGCATAATCTACTGTCTACCTGTACTAAAAAAGCAAATAAATAGGTAAAATTCACTCCACTCTCCCTCCATGTCTTCCTCAGAGCAGTGCTGGATCAGAACTTGTTCGATGATGACAGTTTCCTGTATGAGGACGCTCCAGAGGTGCTGAGGTTCCGCACAGCCACACCCTCCATCGAGCTGCTGACCGACTGGTACCAGAGCAGAGCTAAGGATATCGACTCCTGCTCCAGACAGGTGCGAACACTTTCGTCGTTGCGGTTCTCGGTTGCTGCTAAAAAAATAAAAAAATAAAAAAAGCATTACACTGCTGATTACCACGGTTTCGGCTTTCAACAGATCCCACTTTCATAGAATGATTGGATTTGTCACTTTCACCTTGCAATTAGTTTGTTAGTCCCTTGTTAGTGGTCAAAATCAGCTCCAAGTGGTAAAAATGTCTCTGTGAAGGTGAAACATTTTTCACACCCTGCTAAAGTTCTTTTTCAGGATCCTTCTGCTTGATTGGAACTTATAGCAGGACAGCAGCATAAAGGAATGAGTTGCCATCTGGCAATCGGGGAGATAATTGCCGTGGCACACTTCTTTTAGATTGGGGCTGCAAAATGTGACGAGCTGGGATTCAGACTGCAAAAGAGATGTTGCCAACCTCCATCAGTAAAGGTCACTTTGATCCTATCTGTGACAGTCATTATCATATTTGCCATATGGACCTCTAATGAAGAGTAACCAAAGCTTCTGTCATCTACGTTCTGTTGCTGTAAGTGAAAAATAGAACTTGATAGGACTTGTTTAGTGGAGTAATGGGATGTAACCGCTGGAGCTGCCCACTCTCTCCACCCACACTATCCTCACCACAGCTCTGTCCCCTCTTTACCTCCTTCACAGTGATGGATCAAGGTTGTCACAGCGCTCTCTTTGTCTTTCTGAAAGAACTAACTAGGGTGCAGTCATATCTTTCCCCTTCATTTCTCCATTTTATCCCTTTCACTGGGTGTAAGGAGGATGGAGGAGAAGAGATTTGGGGGTCCATTGCTCATTTTTGAAGACAACTGGGGAATCGTGCCTTTCATCATCCACTCAAGAGAGAAAGAAAGTGAGACTGAGAGTCTCGAATGTGTGTGTAAAAGGAGGTCTTAATCTCTAGGAATTCCAGCTCTCTCTTTCATTCTGTCCCTTGTTCCTTTTTTAATTTGACCTCATTTGCTTTTTGCTCTCTGACACGTTACTCTAGGAGCCTCTCAGGACCGTCCCTAGCTCTCATGTCTCTCGCTTTTTCACACTTCTGTTTTTCTCACTCACACTCACGTAGATGCAGCAGAGAGAGAGAGACTCTGGAACAGCTTTACTGCCATTTGCCGAGCTTTCTTCCCCCTCCTTCCTGCCCTCTTCACTTCTTCAGCTCATTTGTTCTCTCTCATTTGCACCCTCCTCCCATCCCTCATTTGGCCGTGTTTATGCTTGGGAGAGCGTTTTAATGGAGGAAAATGGGGTTTGATTAAAAGGAGCCACATCAGAGGAAGCTGAAGTGTTTTAAACCAGTCACAGAGCCGCAGGAAGTGAGGTGCTGAATGGGAAGATTGACAAGATGACTCACAGAGGGAGACGGGTTTTTGAAAAAGCAGAGAATGAAAGTGCAACCAAAAAGAAAGAAAAACGGAGATAAATGCTGGGCGAATTCAACATCCCTACTTAGTTTAGAGTATATTACAAACACAGAAAGATGAGAGGAAGGGAGGACAGGACTAACAGATGTTGAGGTAAAAAGGGAAAGCAATCTCATGGAAAGAGCTGTCTGCGGGAAAGAAAATCACAGGTTGTAAGGGGGTAAAAGGGTAGAAATAAAGGATATTAAAAACAAGTGTTGTTTGAAACACCGTTGGCAACAAAATGGCCCAAAATGAGAGGTTGGCTTTGGAAGTCAGACAGAGAAAGGAGACAGGCATACAGAGAAGGCAAAGGTCCAGACTTGGAGTTCAAATGGAGGCCAGTCTGACTGTAACAGACTTTTTGTAAGAAGTGGGAAGAGAGAGAGAGAGAGAGAGAAACTAAGCCGAGTGAAAATGTGAAAACGGTGTTTGGAAGAAAGGGCTGAGATAGGACAGGGAGGAGAGACAAAGAAGGATCAAATTGAGCTGGAAAATTAGACTGAAGAGTCGGTGAGAGAGAGAGAGAGAGAGAGAGAGACACTGAGGATACAAGTTGTATAACAGTGGCGAGAAGGATGAGGGGAGGGCAAGGAGACGAGGTCGTAATTAAAAAGTGTGAGATTTTAACATCTGAATTGTCTGTGGTTAGCTGGGGGATCTATCTCTGGAGAGCAGGGAAAGAGAGAAGGAGGGGAGTGGTGGAGTGAACACGGAGGATCTTTACTCACAGTTGGATCAATAGACTTCTCTCTCTTGTTGTATCTAATTGCTCAGGCTCTGACTCAAGGTGATTTGGGTTTTCTCTCGTCCTGCGAGTGTGTGCACGTGCATTTTAAAAATGAAGGCGTGCAATTATTTATTCAGCAAGAAATGTGTTGAGATAAGCTGAAGATGACAAGGTTGCGGACCCCGTGAGTGCACGCGTGCGTGTGCTAGATGCTGCGCTATCCGTTGTGCTAAAGGGCTCTCCTGCTCTAAAAGGTGGAGAGAAAGCAATCATCACTACAGGGCCCAGCGGCATCTGCTATTGATTGGCTAGCATCCACAGGTGTCTGAGCATCAATTGGGTGGGCGTGCTGCCAGCGTATAGGTGGTCGGATATCGATTGGTTGCTCTTCTGGATGGAATTTTATTGATCAGAGTAACAGGAAGCCCAAATCTTCCCTGTGTTATTGTCTAGAGACTAATGATTGGATATTAGTAATGACTGACAGGTGTTATTTGGTTTCACATTAGTTGGGATATTGTTGTCTGGCTCACGTCCCAGTTCAGTGACCTCTTTTTCAATGACGTGGCGCCCTGCTGTAAACAACCTCTTCATTCACCCGCTGAACAAGTTACTTTGGCTGAGTTAACCGGATTGTAACAAGGTTGAAACGTACAAGGCACCAGATACAATAGCATGTATATAGGCATTCAGTGCAGTACAACAGCACTACATAGCACAGCCTCAAAGGTAATTCAACAAATGTCACATAATAGAGATTAAACATTGGAGCTTTCACAAATGTTGGTTTTCTATTGTGAGCTTCTGCACTGCTTTGGGTTGGAGTATAAAATATCTGTGTTCTGTCTTCCACCTTTTGGAGTTTGATTTATTATATGGCATGCTGTATTTTAATGGGATTATTTCATCACCCTGCAGGACCGCTCTGAAGATAGTTTTTTGATTGTAACATTGGTCAGCTTACCTGAAAAGGGTAAGTGCCCACCAGAAGAAAGTGTGGCACACCGCAGGGTCAGCCAACTTTAAGGCACAAGGAGTAAATTAATATAATGGTTGCAACAAGGGTTAGGGGTTAGTTTTTAGTCATGCTAGCGCTGTAGATCTAGGGATAGGAGTATCGGTCAGTTGCTCAGTCCATCACTTTGGTCCAGACTGAGAAATGTATTTGATTGATTGCCATACAATTTTGTACAGACATTCGTGCTTCCCAGAGGATGTATCCTACTTACTTTGGCGATCTGACTTTGAGTATATGTCTTGATTGCTGGATGGATTGCCATAAAATGTGGGATCAATATCCGTGGTGCCCAGAGGATGAATCCCAATGACTTTGTGGGTGTCGTGACCTCTCACGTATCCATTATAATATCTCTACATATACAATATGGATTGGCAGTCACTTCAGTCTAAGGGATATTAATGTGCCCCAGAGAGTGGAGCCTTCTGACTTCATCCCCTCACCTTTGCTCTAGCACCACCAGCAGGTTATTCATGCACTGTGAACTTTGTGATCCCCTGATTTTTCATCTATGGCCGTCACCATGTCACAATTTTGTCCAGTTCTTATGGTTTATAACATTTTGGCCATTTTTATGCTCAGCTTTTCAACCTCACAGAACTCCTAGCGCAGCTGTAGTCTTGTTGTATAATGTCACATTTCATAGTCACATGAAACCACTCAGAACAGTGCACACTAAAGATTAAGTCCACAATAGCATGGTGTCATCCCTTAATAGATAGACCAACTGCCAAGTCTTCAAAATAAAATAAGAATTTGGCTAATGATGTAGTTGCTTCACACTGACTGTTGCAGTTTTTTCCTCTTTTTTGTTCTCTAATTGGCATCTCTTTGTGTTCATCAGGTGGACTGTGCCCTGTCACTGGTGCGTCTGGGGAAGGAGCGGGAGATCCCAGGGCTAGAGCTCTTGTGTGATGACATGGTCACCATGGAAACACTGGTGTATGAGACATCATGTGAATTGAGTCTGACACTTAAAGATTTTCAGCAGCTAAGTGACATCGACAAGCTCCGCCTGCTCATGAAAAATGTAAGTGGCATGATTTTCGCCTTTCACCTTGAACATTTAACATTTTCATTGGAGGCCTTTCCCACAATGTGTTTTGGAATCGGTTACTGGTTTGAAATTTGGATTCTTTGTATGACAAAATGAATGACAGAAGTCTGATTAAAGTGTATGCAAATTGTTGTTTTCACTAGGCGTGTGCTGATATCTTATTTTCTAGCCAAAATGATGTAGGTATGACAGATCACTTTGTTACTGGAACAAAATGTCCCTGTCTACACTATCAAAACAAAATTGTCCTAGAGGTGTGTCATTATTATTATTATTATAGACAAATATTTTTGCATCTTTTGGAGATGAATATATTTAGGTTATTTTTATAATGCAGCCCCTGCTGACTCAATATTGCTTACCCCGCTTTCCTCTATGTTAAATGTGCATTTGCCAGCATGATGCTTTGTCTAGTTCACAGTGTGCAGGCGGTTCCCTGTCAGTAAAAATCTGAAAGCTTTCCTTGCAATTCATTTTAAAGTTCCATAGTGCGGTTGCTTTAATCCTTGACTGCTGCTCAAATGAGCATAATATATGCTAATTACAACTTGAATAGGCAACAAAAGCAAACAGAAGAATTTCACAGTTTGAAATTGTTTTTAATAGCGGTCTCACAGTAAATCAGTTACTTATAATTCCTGAAATCCCTGACATTTGACAATCTTTCCATCCAACAGCAGCGAGAGAGCTATGAAAGCTAGTCCGTAGCAGGTACTACAGTTACAAGTCCCCTTGGAGTACATAATATAAGCTGTCCTCTAAATTGTAGCTAATAACTGCCAGCTTCAGCCTGCGAGGACCACTGCCAGTAGGATCTGCCATATAGGCAGGCAGCCAGCAAATGTTGTTGACTGCACTAACACATGCTGTTTGACTGGTACTCCCTTTGGGCGCTATGTGAGTGTGTGTGTGACTGTGAATGTTTACCAAACTCGCCTAGATTAAATCTCCCTCTTTGCCTGTGTCTGATGTCTTCCTTTATCAGAGACACAGTACACAAAAGTAAAATGTTTGCGTGTGGGTGTGCAAGTTTGCATTTAGCATCTGAATTTTTTTTTTCATTTTTCCTGTGGTTGCTCTCTTATCTGTATATCCTGAGTCATAGCTACTGCAAGGTGGGTGCGAAGCCCTGTACAAACCTGACATGCATCCCTACACATCACATCACAACCCACATAAAGTAGCCATTAAAGTTCAGTTCAGGTTTAATTGCGTGGCACAATTTCATGTAAGTGCTGTTCTAAAAACATTAAAACCAACCAGATCAATCTATATGAACAAGAAAATGCTCCCACAGGGTTTGCATCTGATTTTGATTCTGTTTCCAGGTTGCGAACACACATTGTGTGCTTTTATGTTTGTATTTCTTGTCCAGATCAGGAGAAGCTTTCCACTCATTAGGAGTTTATTTCCTCCTTTGCAGCATCACATAAAATGAACTAGCATATAACTGCGCTTGACACTTGACGTTAGGCTTGCTAACTTTAGCAGACACATAATAGAAGGGCAAGTAGAAACTTGCTAGCCTAGCAGCATTAAGGGAACTTCTCGCAACACTCTTTTTAAGTAAAAAGTATGTACTGTCAACAATTCTCTATCAAAGCACTCATTTTGTAGTCCCGTAGTCTGACTTCTCACTCGTGTTACTATGAGAACCGGGGTTTGATGGTTCTGTGGCATTTTATTGGTTATGTTTAGCATCCTAGCTAATGACTATACTCTTGATAAATCTATTGATTACAATCATTTAATTTAAAAACACCTTCATCTCCATAAAATGCAAGAGCTGATAGAACCATCTATTTTAAAAATAATTTACATTTTGTCACCTATTTGGTTCAATACAGTACTTTATGTGCAAGATATGTAACTTTCAGTTTATATATCACATACTAAGACGAAGAAGAAGTATAGTTATAAATCAGTGGCCAAGTTAAAACCGGTTTTTGGTCAGAAATGATCAGGATTTGTCAGTAATTTGGAACAAAATGGGAAATAGTGTCCAGAATAAAAAACATTATTCTGTAGGTATAAAAATGTCGATGAACCGTATTTTATAGTAAATGTCTTTCTATCACCAGTCCACCACAGAGCGATATGTGAAAGATGCCTTCCAGTGGATGGTGCCATTCCTGCACCGATGTGAGGGACAGACGGAGGGTGCTGCTAAATCTCTTCTCAGAGAGTACCTGGTCGGCCTGGCCCAGCGAGACCTCACCCTGCCCCTCATCATCTTCCAGCACTCGAAGCCTGACGTAAGTATCCGAACACACAAACACAAGTGCAGGGGGCGTCACACTTGGGTAACCATAATACACACACACACACA